TTCAAATCGGAGAGTTCATAGCAGACGGCCGGAAGGTAAATTGAAGAGTTGGGCTGGAAATGTAATACAAGATCTGGCGTTGGCACCCGAAACATAGACGGGGAACGTCTCAGAAAGTGAGGGTGCTCATAGTCTTATTGTTGTCGAGTCTTCCCATTCATCGCCATAATGCTAATGCTCTACAAACATTCTCAGAAAGTGTCTAATGGTGAGGGTGCCATAACACTCGCGGAACCCGCGTCTCAAGACTAGGAGAAACCATAAATCGTGTCAAAATGGTGTCCGTCAGTGGTTGCACCAATGTTTGTTAAGGACAGATAATGCGGGTAGCCGAAAACGCTGAGTCAGTTCATGCCTTTCCCCCACCCCACTGGCAACTCAGCGTGGACATGTCTGAATTGCGGTTTGTTTATGGGTCGCTTGGTCCTTCTTGGAGCAGTTTCTTGAGGAAGCCTGCTGGGAAAGGCGGCTTTCCGCCATATCAGGTTTCCTAGTGATAGGAAACGAAGACCATAGCTCGTGTCACGTGACATCATGAGCAGCAGGTAAAACGCGGCTCACTTTTTACTTCATTTTTTCAAATGGCATTACCATAATAATGTAGGCCGCGAGTACGTAGACAGATGCACGCACACCGTGACAGTCTCTCCCCAAACATTGTGAGTAGCGGGAAAACAGCCGAAAAACGTGTCCCACTGAAAGTTTTCAATTGATGACTGATTCATTCGTCCAGCGACCATCCAGCGACGTCATCAGTAGGCTGCAGGACCCTGTTATTACGAATACCTGCTTGGTTTTCAATGTTGCCGTCATAAGAAGATTGTGAGTTCTTGTGATGTGAGAAGTAAGAGAAGTCCAATCTTCACATGTTTACCAGTGACCTCATGAGGAGCACAAAACTTGTCATTAGGATGATTTACCCGGCCTGACAGCGACATTTCATCAGCTGATTAGCCGGTCCCCCTTACAGACCTACGCCGACGCTCTTCCCTCCGCAAACATTGTCGGCAGAAAGGTAAATAACACTGGTAGGTGGGGGGTGGAACACCGGGAGCAAATTTTCAGCCTGAATGGATGAGAAGCAACAATGGTCTTAACGTTTTCACGTTTTAGGCTTAGTGATGTAGTATTGGTATAACGATACTGATAGTGGTATGGCTATTAACAGGGTTTAGCAGCATCGCATGTGTAAGGCATTTGCATGCATGCCAATTGGCGTGTGTATAGGTATGTTATCACAAATCATCAAGAGTGGAAGGAAATTTATTCTGGCACAGGTATGAGTATATAGTATGAGCAGGACCCCATTTTCTCCTTGTAATGTATATTGTTCTTGAGTGTTGCAATAATTATGAATATATCTTTCAGCCCTGGTTGGGTTCAGCTAGCAAATAATCTGGGAAAAGTAGCAGGAACATTGTGCAATCTTCAGCAATGGTTTTCAGCTCTACCAATAAGGAAAATTGTCCCAGATGTTTTGATGTGCTGAAGGAGAATCCTGAAAAGCATGGTCCAGAATCCTGGAAATCATGAATGCAATTTTCAGATAATGATGAGGATACACATTCTTTTTTTGTTATGCACAGCTATGACTGGGCTGTGAATGGGAGATGAATCTGAGAGATAATGTCTAGACCTGCTTGATGCAAGTGGAGAATTCATGTGGATCATGATGAGAGATATAATCAGTTTGTCAAATAATTTTTCTCGTCTGAATGCATTTTTTATGTGATGCCCTTGTCTTTCCAACACTGATACCATATCTTCCATTAAAATCATGGCATAGTCAATTTAGTTGACACCTCTCAAAATTTAATTGTCCACTTGATTGCATCAGCTTGCATAATTTCATTGTGCGCTCACTGCTTTCATTTTGGGAAGTATTTATGCTTTGAATGAGACCAAACTTGCTGCCGTCTGAGTTCTGTGATGCTCTGTGTGTATGTGACCTTTGCTTGTGGAATTTCTTTTTGTTTTTCATTGATGCTGAATTATTGCCATGGGTGACTGGATCCAGCATGCATGCTAAGCATAGCTTGTTGGGTGCACCCTGAACCCACCACTCAAGTTGAGCTATCCAGCTCAGCAGACAATTTGGGCACACCCTTCATCAGACAGAAATATTGAGGGTTTTACATGTTGCACAATGTTGCAGCATGTAAAAGGAAACAAATGAAGCATTGCTATCTCATGCAATGCACATCTGCGATAGAGAAATCATTGTTGTTTTGGTCTCTATTGAAGTTGACTTGTGATATATTAAAAATGCATCTGGAACTTGTGCAACCATATAGGCAAGCAGAAGTGTGGGAAGAAAGCCCATCTCTCCATGTCATTCGAAGGAAGCATACTCCAGCACCAGTCCCTAATACGAAGTGTCTCGGGTTACAGCCCCCAGTCACCCGAGGTGACCGACCCTCGCTCACCCCACGAACTGTGGAGAACGTTGGCCAAACATTTACAACTACAAAGACGACCAGTCGCGCTGCCAGGCAATGGTGGTTGTGTGGCCGCTGCGTGACCGCTGCGTGACCGCGGCCATTGCGCAGCATAATGGCCTCCACGTGGACGCCCCACGCACCAGCCTGCATGCATCCTGAACATCTGGAAGGCAGTTCTCCCGCCAATGCCTTGCAGGGGACGCGTGCGCAGGATGTACGCGTCAGTGATCCGAGTGTAGGCCCATGTGGACCAGTATAAATGGCGAACCTGTCTGATGCAATGCAACCAGTATTTGGTGCAATACATTCAGTTTTTGGCTGCAACGTCTCCAAGAACCTCGATTACAGTAGTTCCAGGATTTCCCATCAATCTTTATTTTCCTCAATAACGCAACTTTCACCGAATTTCAAAGTTTGACTTATCACTGAAGTGGAAAGATTGTTTGTGCATTTACATAGGACAAGCAATATTCTACCCCAACTCATTACTACTCATGTTACTCATTGCCCATTGGTAGATTTTACCATATAATTGTCCCTAAGATTTGCTTTCACTGTGCTGTTGTAATTTGCTTCTGTTGATAACTACACTATTCATGGTAAAAGTGTGCTTCTGCTGGAGCAAGCAGAAATTTGAATAAACACTGAATTGTGACCAAAAAAGGGCATGCTGTGGAGACTTATTTTGGAGCACGAGAATGGACATAGCATTATGGGCGGCAGCATCCCTTGCATGTAATATTTACGCCATGCATAACATTCCCAGGTTTCAGGGACCACCGTCCCCCCTCCCTCCATCCCTATTCCGCTCCTGTTCCTATGCCGCTGGGGTTGTTGTTCATAAAGATGCGGGAATTCAAAATTGAGACTTGGGCATCCTGGGGGGCAGGACGGTGTCCATTTAAAGATTTTGTAATACGCAATTATAGCACCCTGTATCTGATTTTGAAATACCATGTGCACAGCTATTTCATGGGCTAATGATTGGGCCGAGATGCTGAAGCGTTTCATGCAAGGAGATTGAAGAAAATGGTGTGATTGTCGTGGTGTATGCAGTTTGAAAACCAAGTCAGGTATTACTAGGCTCGTCCTTACGTCACCAAAGGCCGGTCCACACGCGGGTATTGTGAGTTTCTTGAAAAAACGTCACCAAAGGCCGGCCCCCACGCGGGTATTGTGGGTTACCTGACAAAAGTTGGTCTGACAAAGGTTTGTGGAAAAGTAGCTACTCGGGCGACAGTTAATATGGGGAAGGTTCTTCGGACAAAAGTTCGCGTAGCGCAAAAAGCTCGTCTCGCAGAAGCTTGTCAGCATCAAGTTCGTACGAGACAAAAGTTTGTCCAAGGTAAAGGTTCGTGTGGCAAAAGTTCGTCAGGGGCGGGAGTTCGTACAGAGCAAAGTTTGTATGGCAAAAGATTACCTGGGGCAAAGTTCGTATCACAGGTCGCAAAGGGCAGAGGTTGGTATGGAGCAATAGTTTGTATCGTAGAAGCTAATCTCGGGCACGAGAACCTGTGCTTGATTCAACATGATGGCATTAATAACGATGCCAGCGTTTAGTATGAGGAATGTGTTTCGACTTGGGATCTATCGCGATATCAATACGAGACAGCCTATTTAAACTATATCCGATTGTGTCCCATTTCACGTGATCGTTCTGTAATTTACCCTGCTAATGATTCTAGTGAAGCAGATTCCTTTTTTAACAGGAATCTTATCTGTTCAGCAGTCATCGTTAGCATTTATAATGTGGTATCTACAATTAAGCCGGAATCGGGCATTTGTGATTCCATGTAAATGCATAGACACCTGGCCCCCAGCGAAATACCGAGGAGCGATATGAAGGTCGGCATAGCACCCGCCGCGTCTATTGTTCCTGTCATAGATGTCTGAGATGGACATGATTGAATGTGCCCAGCCCGGGTGGCGTCACAAGGAGTACATCAGGACGCCACGCTGTGCGTGGGAGTGTTGCGCGGGCGTGGGCTCAGTTAACAGCTTTCGTTGCGTCAGACGCGTCAGAGATGGAGAACGCTCCCTAGAAGTGTGTGGGATGGGCTCTAGGACGCCTGGCATTGAAACTAGGTTAGCATTGAATGGTTCAACGGAATTTAAAAGCTCTCGATAAGGTGGGTAGGGCAATGATTGAGCTCCGCGTCAAGGGAACTAGGGGAACGGGATCCAATTCCTCGCGGGGTCCACCGCTCCTGCAAGGATGGGAGGCGGGTGAGGTCATGTCCGCGGTGTCCATCGCTCCTGGGAGAGTGAGAGGCAGGTGAGGTCATGCCCGCGGGGTTCACCCTGCCTGCCAGCATGGGAGGCGGTTGAGGTCATGTCCGCGGTGTCCATCGCTCCTGGGAGAGTGAGAGGCAGGTGAGGTCATGCCCGCGGGGTTCACCCTGCCTGCCAGCATGAGAGGCGGGTGAGGTCATGTGGCCCCAGCTCTCGAGTGCGTCGTAAATCCCGAATAGCACACCAAGGGTCGGCGAGATTTTTACAATGGCTATCTCGCATTTACAACGCCTTCGTTTTGCGCGGGTTTTTCAGGTGGGCCTTCTCATCACTGCTGCCGAATGAAGCTTTTTGTTACAAGTAGTATGCAGACTAGTGTCATCTTATGTCATGTCATTGGGACTTCACGGCGCACTCAGCTGCTGAGTTATATTCTAGACTTATACCCGGATTAGGGACTAGACTAGACGTTATAGGGATGCTAGAGATGTTATATCTTTGGGCCCGAAGACGCGCTAAACTTAAGCTGTTAAAACTGTTAACTTCATTATTTCTGCTTTTAAACTTAATGTGGGATCGGCTTTTCTTTAGTTGATCTCTTTATTGGAATTTCAGGGCAAGATGGACGAGGAAGGCTTGCGACAAAGACAACCGAGAGAACCTGGGAGCGACACGGAGCCTCTGATACGGACCGCGTCACCGAGACAGAGCGTGTCGCTGTGGGAAGCCATCAAGTCTGGCCTGGTCATGTCACTGGTGGGCCTCGTCCTGCTTCTGGGGGGCGTCGGACTGCAGTTCTGGAATGAGGTACTCTTCCAGCAAGCGGTCGCAACAATGCGTCTCTGTTTATGTTATGATGTTGCGACACTGAGCGGCGCGTCATCACATCGTTGTACGCCAGGCGCCTCTGTCGAGAACTGTCAGGTAACGCCCGCCCAATTGTAACCGTGCTGTGCTCTCCTGCCACATCGATCACCAATTCTCAGTTTGGCCTCTTTCACGTGCGTGTCGCTGTACGTTGTTCTTGGTCAGGTGCCGTGACGCGCGTGCAGCGCTCGTCAGCTATACGCTCGCACCTGGCAGGGGCGGGCCGTGGACCGAGCGCGCGCGCTGAACGAGGGTCTGAGCAGCGCTATTACCATCACGGCACCACACAAACTGCTGTCCGAGAACGACGGCAAGCTGGTGCACTTGGTCGCCCAGATCGACGTGGAGGACATGCTGCGCGAGCCCGAGTACGGCATCGCCGTGCCGGTCATCCGGCTGAAGAGACGCGTCCAGATGTACCAATGGGTGGAGGAGGAGACCAGCAGGTCAGTCAGCGGGGTGCGCGCGGCGAGGGAGGCGCTTGGAGTTGTCCAGATGTTTGGGTCGTGGGAGCGCTCACAGCCAGGGAAGTGGGCTTCAGATTCAGGCTGGAAGCTGTTTGAGCAGCACCGTGTGGCAGGTGAAAGGACGTTGTGTCACGGCAGCTGGTCAGACTGTCGTCGGGGTTGCTGCGTGTCACAGGTTTAGTGAACCGCTTTGGCCGGCTGTACCGTTCCGTCATTCATCGTTGTTTCACGCACGTGCTATGCAAATGCTAAATGCCTATGCGGTCAAACTACGGTGTAAGTTGCGACATCTGGTTGGAACATCCGGATCCGGTCGTCCGTTTGATGTACACACGAGTTGGTGTTTTTGTTTTTGGTCCATTCATTTGCGCTATTCTACATGTTGTAGCACTCTCGTTGCTGACGTTCGTGATGACGTTCGCTGGTATGTCGTGTTTCAGGACCGTGGAGGCAGCCGATGGCCAGCAGGTGGAGACGTCCTACCACTACTACAAAACTTGGAAGGACAAGCTGGTAGATAGCTCGTCCTTCAACTCACCCTTTAACCATGAAAATCCCAGGTCGGTCCGAGCTATGGTCTATGACCCTGACTTGGCCTGGGTCTGGATACACCCGGTGGGACCGTATATCACGATCCAGGTGTTATATTGTGCTTTGCCTGTGCTTGAGCGCAGTCAGCCGCGCCCAGCTATCCGTTCTGCGTGCTTTGTCTCTGTCAGCGGTTTGATCCCATCCTTAACGTGCGGCACTGGCCAGCAGCTTGCCTTGGTCACGCCAGTTCGGCGTGCGTCAGCAGCGGCGGTTCGTTGGACAGGTGGGCCGTGAGATGGCCGCGGTCTCTGACGGGCTCGACTCGCCGACAGGTCCCTCCCTCTGGAGTCCCGGGTGCAAGAGGCGGCGACGGCGTACGTGGGCGCCTTCCGTGTGACGCGGGAGCTGCGCGACCTCTTCACCCGCTACACGATCTTCGCCAGTGACGAGAGGCCGGCGGACCGGCGCATCAAGCTGCACGGCGACATCTTCTACCACTGCGCCAACATCGAGGCCCCCAATGTGGGCGACATCCGCGTCCAGTTCGCATACGCTGGCAAGGCGGGCGATACGGTTAGTCCTGAAAAAGGTGCCTCTCAGCCACTCCTCGACGTCTCCTGACAGGCTTTAACAATCGCTGATCGGTGGGGTTCACGACCATTTGCAGGGAAATGAGGATTTTGGGGCCATTTGAAATAGGCACGCTACTTTATTACATTGTACATCATGCTTATTGTAAAGTCGAATCATTATTACACATTTTTCAAAGCTCTTGAATTTGGCAAGAACTTATTCGGTGGGCATCTGTTATTTGGGATCAATACACCGTACGTATTGCCCTTCCACACCCCTCCAGCGCATTGCGTAACTTACGCACCCACGACGGAATGGCATACTGCCTTGACAATGCGCAACTCTGAATATTACCTCGCATTCCAAGCCATACGTAAAGTGTAATATGAATGGGGTATAAGACGCCATTTTGTTGCGTCCTTTGAAGGCACCAGATGGTGATTAGCCTGAAGAGAATCTTTTACATCATTTGTATGGGGTTTTGAGCTGTCACAGCCAGTATAAAGATCAGTCATTGCGGCGCATAGCTCTGCCCTGTGTAAGATTTTGATAGGGTCAGTTGCCGTGCATGGGTGCGAACGCAGCTGTTTAAAGGGAAAATTGCACCAATCAGCGAGACGGTAAATGCCAGTACGTGCGACAACTAATGGAGCATCCGAGACAACCTAAAATCACACGAAAAAAAATCATATTTCCACAGCATGGTAACCAGGTTTGGGTCGTCAGCAGGTTAGGCGTTTAGGTCTTACGAAGGGGAAAGCTGCGAAGTGTACTGAATGATCCCCAAGATGGCTATTTCAGTTCAAACCCTCATGCAAATTTGTAATACTCCCCTTGAAGAGGGTATGCCACCATTTTTGTACCTTTCAGTTGTTGATCAGGCGCGTTCGATTTGATCGTCTGGTTCCTGCGCCATTCAGCAATAACGGGCGCGGATCACCAGCGCCGTGAGCCTCGGGGGAAAGGAAGACGTAGTGACGCTGTACCGTTGCCAGCAAATCGCGCCAGTTCATGCTGACTCTTTCGGGGGCAGTTTGGTCCCGCCACATCACGGACAGAGACCCGATCTGGACCAGAGTGTGTTCCACTAACTTTCCTTTTGCCTGCTCTGATTCAGAAAATTCCAAGTTTGGGGATCTATCGGCTAACGGGTCTCGACTTATTTGAGACCAAACGGCAGAGCTTTTCTCTTTATTTAAAACATTTTATTCAATAATAGCGGAAAAATAATCATCGCGCGTAGGCTGTGCGAGAGTATTTGAAAGATCGTTGTTAACATCATCTTTGCGCGAAAAAAAACAGCTGGAGTACTATAAGTACCTAACGGAAATATGCAACCGCTATGTCAGGGTAGTGTGTTCTGAAGTTAGCCAAGTCTGCGCACAGCGGGCAGCATTCGGCTGTTAAATGTGTTTTTGTAATCCTCACCTCGGCAGCAACGATACAAATTGTCCCAAACGATTTCGATGATCGACCTTGTCGTATTGGCTTAATAGTTGTGCTATGTAATCCGCGTCTACACTCTCTACGCTTACTTTTGGTGCCATATATGATATGTCGATACAAGCAGAAACCGGCAGATTCGGTAGTGATGATGATTTGGGTTTTGGGGTGCGCCGGCTGTTTTGTCATGCGGCGCCCATAGACTTGGCAGGTTCATACGGATGAATTTCCATGGTGAACCAATGCATTCCCGCGCACATTGTTGCAGTTTTTAGGAAGCATCGGGTAAGTTTATCAATGCGCAAGCACATGCAATCATACGCAAGCACATGGGTTTTGGCGAGGCAGACAGTCCATCTGGTAACAGGTTGAAAGCTCGCGTATTCCCACAGTAGCGATTAAATGGTGTAATTGTTACTTGTCAAGTCAAAATAATCGCAGGCATATCTATATCTATGGCGTGCGCACCCGCTGACACTTTCGCAAAAACTGTTCGCTCTTGCAATAGTGTAAAACCTCGCCGCGTTTTACGCCACAGAAACATAATGTTACGAAGGACGCTGTGCTATTGCGGACCGTGTAGTTTGAAAACATTAGGTATCAGCTGTACCATGTTACAACATGTCCCGCTGGACGGTGGAAAATGCATCGCCTTGGCCTGTTAATTGTGAGTGCCGCTCTGGTAAGCAACGAAAAATGCATTATGTCACCGGTCAGCCTTTATGTAACGGGTCAGCCTTTATGTAACGGGTCAGCCTTTATGTAACACAGATCACAGTTTGTACTCTTTGCACCCGTCCTCGGCTTTGCTGCGGAGTGAGGGTGCTTAGCGTGCTCGACCGGTATCTGGTCGCCGTAGCATGCCGACTGTACCCTGGGTCAATCTTGAGAGCTGTTGAGGGAGGTGGGTGTTTTCATCACTCAAAAGCTCCTTGTTGAGTGTCTGTGTCATTTGCCTCGTTGATACGAGTGGTGTTTGCGCCGATACCGTGCTGGCGCGGCCTTCAGCCGCAATTTGCCGCTCTCACGCTCTAACTACGCCATTTTCAGATGATCATTTAAGCTTGCAAAATGTAACTGCCGGGTGTTTAAATGGAATATTCCACCTTTCTTGCACCTTTCACGCGTGGTGAGATCACACGGATGCAATATGATAAGAAATATCAGTATTTTCGAAATTTTGGAAAGTTGAGAAATTCGATTTGAATTAGGCGCTTTGACGGGAAAGATCTCATTTGGGTTCTCTCCTCACCACGACTCGGTCTGTCTTGGACTACTCAAGTTCGTCTCGACGGTGCCCCGGCGTCTTCTTAAGAGGCTCTGGGTAGCGTCCACCACGCGTGTGTCCGTATTGCTATTGGAGCTTTCCGCACAACCCGCACGAAAAGCCTGCTGATAAAAGCAAACGAACAGCCACTTCATCTTCGCAGAGGAAAACTTCCCTGAATTATGCTATCTAGGCGCCGCAAGCTCCTTGCCACCCAGCATACCCCGCACTTTTTTCGCACACGTTGACTCGGTCGTTCTTGAAAGGACTGACGCCCCCATCAAAACCCACGTGCTTGCGGTGGTGAGATTGTTTGGGTGGCGAGATTGTTTGGGTGAGGCAGGCGTCCACCTCGACGAAGGACCATGAACGCCACAGTGGTGAACGCCGCCTTCCGTGCGCTAGAATCGCCCAACGCCTCAAAAATGCGTGTAGTCCATGCACGGCATGGCAGATGGGATACTAAGGGCGCGTTCAGCGGAGGGAAAATTTTCAGCGAATTATTATCTCTCCGATGGTCATCCACGAATATGCTCCATTTGCGACCAGTGAGCCCGAAAATTACTCCTCAGTTTTGTTGCCCACGCGCCATGCAGAGGCCACGGTTATAGCAGTGTATGGCGAAAGAAGAGTTTTCCACCGTGACAATGCTCCGAAAAATTTCCTAGATTTTCCCCCGGCGCGAATGATTATCTGCGATGGTGCTCGGTGTCGGCAGTCCCGAACGCGATTCCGGAGAATTTTCCAACATTCTGGATAACTGTCCGAGATTATCTGCGAGCCGAACGCGCCCTTAAGGAAGACAGAAGTCGAGCGGGGGTCTGGAATGCTCTCAGCATGGGCGATATGTACCCCCGATCTTAAGAACAGCCAGAAAACCGCAGCCACATGACCTGTGTCAGTGGCTGGCTGGGTAATTTCCGAATGGATGGCTAAGCACAGGATGACGGGAAAAGCGCATTACTAACGGCCTAGGGACTGACTCTCAAATGGATGAGGGCTGGATTATTGTGATGTGATGTACGTCATTTGACTGACTCACTGTGGATCGATGCGCAACACATACTGCGTCCTAGTTTTTGTCTGTCGCCAGCGAGATGAGCAGTTGCATGCGTCTTCGGCAGCCGAGAGCAGGGGCTGTGTGCGTGTGCGTGTGCGTGTGCGTGAGAGCGGTACCTGAGAACGCCTGCTGCCCCGCAGGTGAGCGTGGTGGGGAAGCAGGAAGGTGACGCGCTGGTGCCATACCACACCTCCAACGGGCATCGGCTGCTGCTGCTCCAGCCAGGCCGCCGCAGCCACCAGGACATCTTCTCGGACGAGCTGGCGCAAAACCGCGCGCTCACCTGGTGGCTGCGCGGCGGCGGCTGGCTGCTGTGCTTTGTCGGCCTCAGCTGCCTCACCAACATCCTGAACGTGCTGGGTCAGTGTTCCACTGTTGTGCTGTGCCGTCCGCTGTCTCACTCTCTTCGGCCTCGGTTTCCCGACGAGCATCCCGGACGGCAATGCTTTGCTTTTCACACGAGCCGGTTTCCTTGACACCCACACTCTTTTGTTTTCTTGAACGGGCTCAGCCGTTCCCATGCTTCCCCGTCTTTCCATCTCAGTGTGTTTGATGTATTCCGTGTGCTTATGGATGACCCCTGGTATGTTAAAGGTTATGTTCGTTCATGCCATGCGTACATGTGATGTGTATTACTGTTTTCACTGAAGAATGTCAACCTCATTGAACATAAATGTTGTACCCACTATTATAGTGGGCCGGTTGCCTTACTCTCGTGCTGCCTGTGCTCCAGTGAGCCGGCTCCCCTGATTCCTGTGCTGGCCCGATGCCGCTGAGGGATTCCCTGGACTCCGATACCGCTGGGGACTCCCCTGAATTTTGTGCTGGCCCGATGTCGCCCGGGGGATTCCCCGACTCCAGCGATCTTGTGCTCTGGCGAGCCGGTTCGGCTTCCTTCCCATGCTTTCCGTTTGTTGGCCAGGTCCCCTGACTTTTGCTCTTTGCGTCGTTCTAGTCAGCGATGATGCCCTGGAATCATTTTCCCCTTCTCGTGGTTCTTCTGAGTTGCACTTTCCCTTTTCCAGTGAGTTCCGACCCCCCCCCCCCCCCCCCCCGCCCCGGTCCATTCCTATGCTTTCCAGCATTTCATTAGGCCAGTTAACCCGAATCATGCCCTCGCGTGCTCCTCTCCGCCCCCTTTGCTGCTTTGTTCCAGTGAGCGAGACCACCTGACCATGCCCCTCCCCCGCCGTCCAGACTCCAGGGCCGTGGTCTCTAACTCTCCCTCACTCCGTGTTTCATTGAGCCGGCTCGTTGACCCATGCTTCAATGTTCCTGTGGGCCTCGCCCTTGACTCATGTTTTGCTCTACTGTTATGTTCCTCCTCTGTTCCAGTAAATGTTGTCCTGCGGGGAGCAATCTGCATGTTCTCCTTGTGCCAGTGAGCCGGTCTCTCTGATTCCGTTGCTTCCATCCCATCATGTTCCAATGTTCCGTTTCCCCTGATTCCCGCACTCCCGCTCCCGGTGAGTCGGTGCCGTGACTTCCGTGTCCCGTGTCCCCAGTGTTCCGTTCCCCAGACTCCCTCACTCCCACGTCTCGGTGCGTCGGTGCCGTGACTTCCGTATCCCGTGTCCCCAGTGTTCCGTTCCCCAGACTCCCTCACTCCCATGTCTCGGTTAGTCGGTGCCGTGACTTCCGTGTCCCGTGTCCCCAGTGTTCCCAGACTCCCTCACTACCGCGTCCCGGTGAGTCGGTACCGTGACTTCCGTGTCCCGTGTCCCCAGTGTTCCGTTCCCCAGACTCCCTCACTCCCGCGTCCCGGTGAGTCGGTGCCGTGACTTCCGTGTCCCGTGTCCCCAGTGTTCCGTTCCCCAGACTCCCTCATTCCCGCGTCCCGGTGAGTCGGTGCCGTGACTTCCGTGTCCCGTGTCCCCAGTGTTCCGTTCCCCAGACTCCCTCACTCCGGCGTCCCGGTGAGTCGGTGCCGTGACTTCCGTGTCCCGTGTCCCCAGTGTTCCCAGACTCCCTCAGTCCCGCGTCCCGGTGAGTCGGCGCCGTGACTTCCGTGTCCCGTGTCCCCAGTGTTCCGTTCCCCAGACTCCCTCACTCCCGCGTCCCGGTGAGTCGGTACCGTGACTTCCGTGTCCCGTGTCCCCAGTGTTCCGTTCCCCAGCTCCCTCACTCCCATGTCTCGGTGAGTCGGTGCCGTGACTTCCGCGCCGTCTGCCCCCAGTGAGCCGGTTCCCTGTGGTGCGGGACGTGGTGGCACTGGGTGTCACGTCACTCAACGCTAGCGTCTCGGTGGCCGTTTCGCTGGCGGCCGTGGCGCTCAGCTGGCTCTGGTACCGGCCGCTGCTGGGCGGCGCCCTGCTGCTGGCCGCCGCGCTGCCCGTCTGGTGGCGTGCGCGCTGGGCGCCGGCCGACCAGTGGGAGAGCCGCGAGCCGCGCCTCACCGTCACGCGGCCGCGCGGCATGTACCGCTCCCAGCCGCCGCCCTACGGCTTCCGGACACCCTCCTGATGGCCGAGACCGTGGGCAAGAGGGATGCGGCGCGTGTCGCGAGTCACGCTGGCCCACAGGCCGCTGTTATGACGGGTTCCGGTGTCTGGGTCGTGCCCAGGAAGCGTCGAGCTGTTTTGTGCGGGTTCGTTCGTTCTGTAATGCGGGCATTTCCTTGTTTATGCGCACAGCGCACTTGTGAAGGTCGTTTGCGTAGTGTTGCCGGTGCACGGTAGTGGAGCTCGTGAAGAGAAATGTGAAGGACTCGGTTCGCGATTTCGCTGTGATTTAGTTTGTTTCGTTCGTATACAGCGCCAGCGAGTTTCTTAGACCCCATCTGCCACGTGCGTTGTGTCATCAGGCTACCAGACCCCAACTTTTTTGTCTGCTCGAATCAGAGATGTGTTTATGTCGTCTGGCGTTATATACATGCGTTGGCATGCTCGTTAGGTGAAGCGAATAAGTGCCAAGGGTGTTATTCGATTCGATACATGATATGTATACGTGGTACTTCGTCATTACAGATGGTTTTGTAGTCTGTTTTATAAGCAATGAGTGGCTGCGAGACTAACGACCTTTGTGTTCACATTATTCGCGTTTTATATTTTAGGACAATGCCATGGCAACTGCCTTTTGTACGGCAGACGGTCTATTGGGTAGTCAAGCTTTGGGTTAAAGTCGAATGTGTATATCCATTTCAACAAGGAGTCGCTGGGACAACGGCGGCGACGTATCCGCGACACCTGCCGTTTCAAGGGGATCTTCCACGTTTGAAGGCATTGAAGCAAGCGTCAGGTATGAAAAAAGGGTCTCATCTGTAAGTGCTTACTTATAGCTATTGGTTTACTTTTAGGTGGAAAAGACTGCTCTAGGCAACATAATTTCTTTAGTTAGCGAATATACTCTTCAACATGTAATTGCTTCATCGCGTGACCGAACATTGCACAACATTAATTGAGAGCTAATTGGGGGACGTAATATTTGGAAATCGTGCTGATGATCGACTCGACAATCATATTTGTATTGTTGATTGTTGCATGGCAAATGGAAGTAGGACGTGTATGACGTTATTAAGACATCGTGGATGCCTGGGTTAACCTGAAATAGTTTGCACGAAAAAGTTTGCACATCTTCGCGGGGGCGTAGTTCAGAAACTAGGGGGGGGGGGGGTGGTGGTACGTTGGAACAAGGCAGGGCTGTGAGCTGCACCGAATGATCAAGATGGCTAGTTCAGTTCAGAACCCCACACAAATGTGGAGCACTCCCTTGGACGTCTCCTCCGGTAAGGAATCAGTTCAATGATTGGGTGTGGGAACGGGTTGTAAGTGGGTGCCATGACCCCCCCCCCCCCCCCCCCCCCCCCCCCGCCTTCCCCGAATGCTGAGCGCCGGTTAGCCCTATGGCGGCGCATGAAAAAATGTATTGAATTTGGTACTTGGCACGCCCTATCTTCTGAAACTTATCCACGTGCGGTCCAGTATGACAATATCATTGCTAATAGCAACCGCTGCAGGCCTCGCTGACCCGGGGCGCCTCGCCAGGATCCTTCGCTGACACAGGCTAAGGACAGGGCCGCGCACAAAGTGCGGGACAGGACCGGGCGCTGGCACGCGTCCAGCCAGAACCGTGCGCTGGCACGCGTCCACGCAGGGCCCTGTGCTGGCACGCGTCCGCATAGGACTGCACGCTAGCCTTCGACTGCCAGCGCCCGGCCTTCGCTGGGAAACGCCTCTGGAAGCTGGGTCCTGGCCCTGCCAGCCTGAGCCGACAAGCGCAGGGTAACAGTCAAGTCAGCGAAACAAGTCGAGGCAAGGTTCGGCGCAACAGAACCTGTCGCCCAGCTGCTGGTTAGTGAAATGAATGGGTTCGATCTTTGCCAAACCACTGATTTAAATCAGAAATATATTTCAGAGATCGCAACTGCATCTTAGAAACGCGCACCACTTTCAGATGACGGGTGCAACAGCGTAGGACGTTTACAGGCAGTAACCGCTGGACTGGGCACGCCTTTAGTGAAAAAGTACTGTCGGGGTTATACCTCCGCAAAGATCGTAAATATCGCTGGAAATATTTGTCGGCAGGTGGTCCAGTTTTTACTGGGCCCGGGCGAGAGCGCCGGTCATTGCCAACTGTGTGCCTTTGACTTGGTCAGTCAGGGCAGGCATACGACCAATGGGCGGGAGTCATGCTATGTCAGACATGGTAACCATACATACGCACGCACGCACGCACGCACCCACACCCACCCGCACACACCCACCCACCCACACCCACCCCCACACCCACACACACACCAGGCTGAGTTAAAAGACAGCATTGCGGTCATCAAGAAAATGTTTATTTCCTGTCCGGTATGGCAAGGATCACTTTTCATAAGGGGTGACAAGTCCTGATGTGGGCGAATTTTCCAGCTAAACGCGATTAAACCGAAACACCAACGGTCATAAAAAACGGGACGAGCGGTTTGAGGCCGACAGAAATGCATGCGCAGAGGGAGCAGCGGTGCATGTGCATGTGCAAGCCATCATGATCCATTCAACGAGACTTTAAAGAGTGCAGAACATGAGCAGCACCCTATTGGGATTACAACTGATCATCACGAAACTGGAACAGCGCGGGACAGTCGCGTATTAGTACTAAAACAGAACTGCAGCTGAAACGGCACGGCAAAGCACCGTAGTAGTACAAAAACAGATTACTGGGGAACTGAAGCAACACAGCACACCAGTTAAGGCGCATGACGTGGCAGTGCCATTGCTCCGTTAGTTATCACACACAAAGAAACATTCGGCCGCTGACGGTTCGCTGAGGCCCCTGGGGGCGCCGGACCGCGTCACGTGACGTCGTAGCGCGTGACGTCGTCGCGCCGCGGCTGCGCCGGGTCGCCGTACTCAAGCACCACCGTCTCGCCGCTGTCCAGCTGGCCGGCCGCCAGCTGCTCGACGGGCGTGTCCATGGCGGCGCTCACCAGGCCGCCGTCGGGGCGCCGGTACAGCAGCAGCCGGCGGCCGCCGCTCCGGTCGTTCTCATTGGCGGCGCCGCACAGGTCGGCCAGCGCGTCGACCACGCGGCCGAGCGTCCAACGGCGGCTGACGAACACGGGCCGCGCCACGCCGCGGCCGCCCGGCGCGAGCGCCAGCAGGTAGAGCCGGTCGGCCAGCGGCACAGCGCCGTCGCCGGCGGCGCGCTGCTTTAGCCGCATCAGCTGCACCTGCGCGGCCGTGCGGCGAGCGCGGTCCGAGCCGCGGCCGACGCTCACGACCGGCGGCTGCGCCAGCCGCGCCGCCTGCAACGCCGCGGCCCGCTCAGCCGCCGGCTGCAGGCACGCCGCCTCCTCCTGACGCGCTCGCCACGGCGGGCAGTCGTGCTCGGCCTCGTGACGGTGCGTCAGGCAGCAGGGTCGCTGGCAGCCTGGGCAGGTGACCGGCGTCAGTTCGGCGGCCGTGCAGCCGCCACGTGACAGCCGTACACCCGCGTGCTGGCAGTCAGGTCCGCCTGGCAACGGAAACATCGCTCGGGTCAAGTGATCGCGATAGCCGGCAGGTGGACCCGGTAACAGACGGGGGTACACGCTGACGAGCAAGCTCGCTAGCAACACGTGTCAGAAAAAGCAGGCGCACCGATAAGAGAGGATGCTCATATCAGATACCAAACGACGTTTCATAAGGTCAAAGGTTTTCACGACGTTTCATAACGTCAAATGTGTGTTTAACTCTTTAAATGTTGATGAGGTATGAAATCTGTCACGCCTAGTCAGTGCAAACAAATTCACAAGCATAAGTAGCACGTTTGGAGTTGTTTTGCGACGCATGTAACTGCTAGTCACCAGCAACGAATATTTCACGCCGGCAGTAGCCAGGGACGCTCAAAACACAGCTGGTTGTAACCCCCCCCCCCCCCCCCCCCCCCCGACCATACCGCGGCTGCGCGTCAAGCAACGTTTCACTGAGCAAAGACGGTGTGCGCACGACGCCCATTCACAACGCGGCTGTATAAAAGCTATTGTTCAGTCGGACAGACGAGCTAATACCTCTCCCGCCACGGACTGGTGATCCCCTGAGCAGAATCAGCTGTAAATCACCTTCCATCTGGCTTTACCCACACGGTCTGTTAGCCTAGCCTCAGCTTTTTACCGGGGGACACATCTATGGACACATCTATTTTGCCTGGGCACACATCTATGGACACATCTATAGATACATCGATAGTCCTCGTCCCTGTGTCTCTGTGTTAATCCCTGTATCTCTGTGCTTCTCTCTGTACCTGTGGTTCTCTCTGTATCTCCACGTACCTCTCTGTATCTCTGTCTCTGTCTGTCTCTGTCCGGTCGGAAATATCACTGACCTCGGCCGGCTGGGGCGCCTTGTCGCAGCTGTGGACGTCGGCAGCAACATGGTGTCGACAGAAGGTGACCTGGCAGTGGGCGCAGACGAGCGGCAGGAAGTCGAGTTGGCGGCAGGCGGCCAGGCCGCAGTGCCGTCCCAGCTCCGGTAGCTCAGCCATCTGGCGCGACGGCCCGCGGAGCGTCACACTGGCGCCGGCCGCTCACTGCCAGCGCGCGCACAGACACCGTCCCAGCTGCGCACCGGACCTGGGCTGCACCGGCGCGGTGACGCATCACACACTGCCTGGCTCTTGCCACCGAAATGTGTGAAATCCGGAATTCGGACATCTAGTGAATAGCGACCCACATGGATTCTTCAGTAGAAACACAACAAAACGGTTCGACCCTCGCATGAGCACAAGACATTCCAAATGTGACCAAACACAGCCATTGTGCAACCAAGATTTTGTAGCAAGTGGGCGATTGTGTAAGACACCATCGACACCTATATAGCACGGCATCCTAGGAGCCTTTCGGTGAGGGCGCCACTGGGTGACACAGTTCTTACGGCCACCACAGATGTTTGATGACAGGAGAGCACACCACATTGGCGGCTGCACAACAAATCACTGTCACCCTGGACCACTGATGATGCCTGAGTTTCGTCAAGCTTTCTCAAGTAAGTAAGACAAGCAAAGTGCGGTCGGGCGCCTGCAAGGTGGCTCTGCTGGACACCAGGACCGACGCCAGGCGCCGTGTCACCCACCAGCGCGCGCGCCTCAGTCGGTCGGCTGGCGCTGTTCGGCGAGCCGCTGCAGCGACAGGTCGGTCCAGCTGTGCTCCTGCTGACGCAGACTCTCCACGGCGCCGCTGTTGTCCGGCTCTGGGTCAGGCAGTTCGTACAGTGGCACGGCGATCTCCTCCTCGGGCAGCGTGTCCCGCCGCCACGCCTCGTCGACGATGTCGATCAGACGGCCCTCCAGCGGCGCCTGGCTGTCCATCCTGGGAGGCAGGCCTTGATATAAGTGAAGTTGATCAAACCGCCTTCCCCCCGCAGCACCCGGCTGTCCATTCACAGGCAGGCACACAACATGAGAGGTGAAGCCAGACAGATGGTCCTGTTCCAGTTCAGAGAATGGGGCAGTACAGCATGGCAGCACTGGGCAGAAGTAGGGTAGTAGCATGGGGTGACAGCAGTGGTGGTGTTCCAATGTGGGACTGGGGTGCAAATTTCTTGTCTAACAATCATTACGCAGCACTTTAAGATAGCCACTGGCTACCATTGTGTGGCAAGTCAGCCAGTGAAACATAGCAGATCTTGACATGATCTTGTTGAGAGAGGGCTGGTGCAAGACTACTTTGGGGCAGTTTCTACCAGTTTTGTAGGCACAACTTCATGAATTGGAGCTGCCACATGGGTGCATCTGAAGGGGGGCATGGGGTCATGGGCCCCCTTCAAGCCCATGGCTCCAAGTAGGCCCATGGCTGTCTGAACACACAGTTTTTCACACACAATGCACCAAAATTGGATGTCTTTGGGCTTCCAGGTAATCACAAGTGAAAGTCAAGGGCCCATGAGTGCACAAAAATTATACTTGATTGAGAGGGCAGTGATTTGGAGGATTTCAGTCTGCTTACAATGTCCAGGGGCCCTACACTTTCCGGGGGCCCTATATGTCTAGTTGCGCAGCCAACCTGATTGTTAAGGAGCCTTTTACAATGCCCTTCATTTTTTTGCATTTGCTCAGAGGGGCATTAATTTGTTATCGGCGCATCCTACGCTCTTGTCACTCATGCATCACATTTGCATCCATTTCATAAAATGCATTTTAATGCAATGATATTTTGTGCTCACTCATAACAAAGCACAAACACTGTATTAGTCATCAGCCATTAGCTGGTCAGATTGACCAGCCAGCAGTCTCAATATGCTTTGAGTCAAGTTTGTCCCCAATTCTAATGGTATTTAGCAGCAAAATTAAGATATTTTCAGTTTTTTTCTAAAAAAAGATTTGCCTCAGAATAGCAGCATTCACCTTGATATGGAGAAAATGAATACACTTCATGCATGTGTGTATATAACATGCCTAGCTCTCTACAGATGCACACAGTAACATGGGTTTCCATATGCAAATGGCATATTAAGAGTCTCACAATTTGATTGTCTTACTTCAAGGATATTTGGGGGTCTTAACTCTGAAGGGTACCACAGTGTTGTGTAGCCCCTCCCCTTTACAAAATCCTGGTTCCACCCCTAGGCAGCTGATATCATTTGGGGGTAGCTCACAATGCCCTGTGACAGGAACTGAACTGGGATGCATGCTGCACAGGAGTCAAAGTGGCAAAATGCATCAGAATCTGTTATAAAAAAACAAAAGAGCAGTAATCCATCCAGATACTAGCAAGGAAAGCCTGGCAGCAGATGCACCACATTTGTGTGGACTTCATCATTATGTAACTTAAAAAGGGGATTTGTGAGGAGCATCATACCTATACCTGGGATAGTGCACAACAGCCTTATGGCTTGTAGAATAACCAGGAGAATAAACAAATTGATAGATTAATATATCAATATGTTTCTCATATATATATATATATATATATATATATATATATATATATATATACATGTCCATTCTGATCATTCTATGAGGAAACCTTGATCCTTATTTCACTCCATTTCACCCTTGTTTCTTGTTCCCATTAGTACCATTTGGGCAGCATCATGGTGCATAAGCGACATCTGTATTATCCTATCTGATCCCACACGCAGCTCCTCACAATGCACTGTAGCCAGCAATCCATAAATGATGGACAACTTGATTAGAAATGGTGAGTCTGCACGCCTGAGTTTATAGCATCTGTTGCTAGTGTTGAACAGGAAAAACAGCTGTTAACAACTACATGGCACACCGGCTGAGCCAGGCAGGGTCCTGGCCTTCCAGTTCAGAGTCATCATCATCTTGTGAAATGTTTGATGCTAGCTCATAAGTTGTAGCACACAGGTGTATGCCTCGCACTCAAGAAAACGGTCGACATCGGCCAAATCTATCAGGCATACCATGCAATATTGCTACCAGTACATTCTCCAGACATTTCTTATTCCTTTGACCCCTTCAGATAGCTCTATTTCCCATCTGATGTCAATACATGATGATTTCCCTCACATCTATGATCCGCCGCTCACACAGCCACGCCGACCACAGCCCCAGCGACGCTGAAATCGGCAGCGCAGCCGACAGCTGATTGTGGGAAATTTCGCTAACGCTTACAGCTGATCGTACCATGACGTCACAACACAACAGAATAACGGCTTAACTGTCGACAATTCCGTAATGGACCGCATGTGTGTAACGGAGGATCTAGAGAGGAAGTTACGGCGCCGTGGTCGTTCTTGTGGCCCCAAGGGCCCCCACAGGCTCGGAAAGGGCCAATAGCCGGCAGAACGGAAGTATATTTGTGCACAAAACGCAACTAAAGAGGACATGGTTGGGCTTCCAGGTGACCAAGAACAGTAGCAAGCAAGGGTGGAACTCTTTATGTCTTTGGGGTCGTGCCCCCCTCCAATTTTGAGCTGGACCTCCCCAATGCTGGGCTGGCTGCAGTAGCGCAGGCAGGGGGGGGGGGCACAGTGGGTACGTGCGCCCCTTTGGTTCCGAAGAGCCCGAAGGCCTCTCGGAACCTAAGATTAGGGGTCCGGAAAGCCAGCCAGAGATCTCATCCAGGGGCCCCGGCCCGTAGTACTAGACACTCCAATGCCAGCCAGAGAGCCCTACGCACTGATCAGGGGCCCACTGAGCCGATAAGGGCCTGTATTTCGGTCAGACACCACGAATAACGTGCAGTCGGCTGCGTGGCGGCGTGGACCTACGGGCCCAATTCCCAAGCAGGGTCAAAGCCGGGACCAGCGATCTACATTGTGCAGGGCTCCATAGCGCCCAACAAGGGCCATATGTTGCCAATGGGCCCCGTGCCGACCGGAGGCAGTGTTTGTGGAGGCCCGAAGAGCATAGAGGGTCCCCGGGTCCGACGATCAAGCGCCCGATTAGAGGGTCTAAGGACATAAATGACTTGTCGGAGTCTTATTCAGGGGCCCAGACCTGCGAGTACGGACGCTCAGATAACGGCCAGAGGGCCATTTGCGCCAACCAGGGACCCCCCTGAGTCGATATAGGTCTACGTGTCGGTCAGGTACCACCCGTGCCACACGGGGGCATCCGTGTCTGTATGGGTCTGAGGGCACACTTCCCAATTAGCTACAAAACCAGGGCGATTATTTACACTGGCCGCAGGCCTTTTATCTGTCAGGGGTCCACGGCGCCTAACAGAGGGTCCTGTGCCCGCAAGGGCCCCGAACCGACCAAGGGAAGTATTCGATCGGGCCCGAAGAGGGGCCCGGGCGGCACACCGGAGCCGACGATCAAAGGCCCGGTTGGAGGGCATAAGAGCCCGAGGGACTGGCTGTAGGTGACATAAAGAATTGCGGCGCGTAGGGTCACGACCCGAAATATCACTTAGAGGTCCTCTTGCACCGTTTTAGGAACTCCTGAGACAATGCGGGTGTCTAAGTCGGTCAGAGACCATGAACACCGAACAGTCGGCTCCATGTCCGTCTGAGCCCTGGACACCCATTTCCCAAGCAGACACGAGGCCGGGGTCAGCGATTCGCAATGTTCAGGGGGTCCCTGACACAATGAGGGCTGCTAGGTCCGTTGGGGACTACAGTGCCAAACAGGGCATTCTGGGTCAACAAGGGGCCTCGAATCGGTCAGAGGAGGATTCGTTCATTTGGGACGGTGACGGGAGCCCGAACGGCAGAGGGTATCTGCGTTGGTCGAGGACCTCTGGCAACTGAATGAAACAAAAACTTATGGGGAGTGCTCATATTGAGGAAATAGAGAAGTCCCGTGCCAGTCAGGGCCCCCAGTGTCTAACGGTGAACCCCCCCCCCCCCCAACGTTTTTCCAGCATGGGCCCGTTAAGTCCAACTGGAGTCCATGTTTCAATTATTTCATCACCAGCGGTGAGCAGAGATGTTGTTGCGTTAATGATGATTCATGCGTCGATCCAGAGTCAACTGCGCGAGTCAGAAGGCCTCTCGTGTCAGGGAGAGGTTCAATGCATATGGTGTATCGCTCCACGAGATTCCGATTCGCCCAGGGGATGCCGCTCCGCACACTGCGGTGATACAAAAAGGCCCTTGAGCAATTGACCGGGAACAACAATATGCCCCGTAGTGTTGTACTTAAGGGACCCCTTATACCCCTTGAGACCCCTTATGTCCTTTACCGGACATAAGGGGTCTCATTATCGCTGTATGGAGAGCGTTGAAATGAGTTCCAAATGGACAAGGCTAGCCTTGTTTCACTGAGCGCGCAACGATGGGCGAATATTTCATTGCAACTTTGAGGTTGTCCTCTGGACATATTATCAGTTACAGCAGCACGACTTTTACCTTCACTCTTCCAGTCCCACAGCCAGATTCCGGCGCCACTTCGCGGTGCTGTAAAGACCAATGCGTTATTGTCATCAATCCGTACAGGTGAAACATACGCCACCATAGTGGTACCACTAATCAATTCTGACTGAATATTGAACATATTCAGACTAACATAGCTTGGCCATGTTATTACAAATTGTTGATCCACTTTGGTCTTTAATCCACATTCGCGCAATCCTTGCTATTTCTGTACAGCCCAGATAAACATTGTGACAAAGTTTCTGAGTTTTATCGGTTTAAACAGGGTCACTGAACCATCTAAAATGAAGAGTGCCGGCGATTTATTTCATGCAGTCATTTGACGCGCCATTTTGTCAGTTTATTTACTATATCACGACAGCATTAATCTAGCGATAGCCTCTGGCCTATATTCTAGTTAAAGAAGATATAAGTGTGTAAGAGAGAGAGAGAGAGAGAGAGAGAGAGAGAGAGAGAGAGAGAGAGAGAGAGAGAGAGAGAGAGAGGAGAGAGAAGACGGAGAGAAGGAGAGGGAGAGAGAGGGAGGGAGAGAGAGGAGAGAGGAGAGAGGAGAGAGAGAGATAGATATATAATATATATATAT